CTCTTATCACTTGCATCCATTTTTGGAGAATGTGGGAAGCAGGCTGAAGTTATAAGTCACATAGAAAGCTATAGGTTTCCTCGCCTCAAGCTAGTTGGGAATAAACATAGCAGCCTTCATTAATATTACCATTTTACAAGGCACATATTTATTTTACGGCTGAATGGGTCTCACGGCAGATGATGTTCTTGTGCACTAAACATTGGGAACCAATTAAAAGACCCGTAAAAATTCAGAATGGAATTTCCTTTTAGTTTTTGAAAACCACATGCCTCTCTGCTGCGCACCAGCGAGCTTCCGAAAGCCTGAATGCCTGCGTCCTTGAGCTTGTTTTCCATTTGTATACGATCAGCTCGGTGACGCATGGCACTTGTACACAACAATGAATGCTTCTTTTCTGTATGGTTACACCCATCATTTTACATTCTCATCAATTACTGCGCCACTGCGAGCTCCTGTGAGAGACCAACTGTATAGAAAATGTACGATATTAATGATGGGAAACAGAGCCACCGTTTCCGGAACTCAAACAGCAGCAGAAGGAGAAAAGAAGAGAAAACCGGTTCTAGGGTCTAGAGACATTTACTGGCCTTTAAACCATCTCAGAATGCCGATCAGGATGAAAAATGCCGGTAACCTTACAAAGTGTTAAAGCTAATCTCCAGGCAAATATACAAGGCACAAATAAATGCAGCTCTGTATTCATGAATGCATCAGGAAATGTTTGGTTTACATGCAAGCAATGTGAGTAGAGTGGCAGGGAGTTGAGCTCATCAGTCTGCTTCTTCTCCTCTCACTGGCTAGTGACAGACTAGGGGAGGGACCAGATCTGTAAGTGTTACTTATGTGCAGCAGAGGGAAAATCGGATATCCTGCCTAGCCATATGAAGCTTTGATGTGGGGCAGAGCTGTATAAATCACAGGACTGGATGGACAGAAATACAAAATCCTTTTACATATATGAAACTCTCACATATGTATTTCATCAGTATTTAGTTGTTTGCCTGGAGTTTGGCTTTAAGTTATATACACATATTTGTTAGCTGTATCAACACCTGAGCTGAATGTTTAAAAACACTTTCCAGCAGATTTACAGGTTTCCTGTGATTTTGGGGTAGGGGCTGCTGGTGTATAAAATGGCATTGTGTGTAAGGGCTAGTATGTTGTCCAAAGCTTACAGAAGCAGGATATGGTCAATGAAACGCTTCTTGTTCTGCCATGGGCTCAAAACTATCTTTCTCTCTCTCTCCCTCTCTCTTCCTCTCTCTCCCTCTCTCTCTCCCTCTCGCTCCCTCCCTCTCTCTCTCTCTCTCTGTCTCTCTCTCTCGTATATATATTAAAGGTATTCAAAGCTTTGCCTAGAGTGTATATGACATGATGCAGCAATATAATGTTTATGGTAAAGCTTACATATTCCTTGTTTTTATTATTATTATTATTATTATTTTATAGTCCAGCTTAAGTAAGTCCAGTTGAAAAGTCTTTAAAAGTCAACTCCATTTAGTACTGGTTCAAGGCAGTGGACCATAATGTGTAGGAAACTCCAATGTATACCTGTTCTATCCAGGTAGTTGGAAGATCTAGATGTGGCTTGGTCTATATGGCTTGGTCTATGTGGACTATAATGTGTAGGAAACTACAATGTATACCTGTTCTCTCTGGTCGGTTGGAAGATCTAGATGTGGCTTGGTCTATGTGAACTATAATGTGTATAAAACACTAATGTATACCTGTTCTATCTGGTCAGTTTGAAGATCTAGATGTGGCTTGGTCTATGTGGACTATAACATGTAGGAAACTCCAATGTAAATCTGTTCTATCAGGTCAGTTTGAAGATCTAGATATGGCTTGGTTTATGTGGACCATAATGTGTAGGAAACTCCAATGTATACCAGTTCTCTCAGGTCAGTTTGATGATCTAGATGTGTCTGGGTCTATGTGGACTATAACATGTAGGCAACTCCAATGTATACCCGTTCTTTCAGGTCAGTTTGATGATCTAGATGAGCCTGGGTCTATGTGGACTATAACATGTAGGAAACTCCAATGTATACCAGTTCTCTCAGGTCAGTTTGATGATCTAGATGAGCCTGGGTCTATGTGGACTATAACATGTAGGAAACTCCAATGTATACCAGTTCTCTCAGGTCAGTTTTAATATCTAGATGTGGCTTGGTCTGGGACCCCTTGTCCTACCCAACAATTGCTAATGTCCTTAATATGGAAAAAGTCATTGCTAAGCTTAAATTTAGACAACAGTTCCTAGGACCAATAAAAGCTGACATCTCTTTATGGCTGTAACTACATAAACAATAACATTTATAGGTTTATAAGAGGGATTCTCAAATGTGTCTCTGACATAGATCATCAGTTTATGCTTTGTAGATGGAGTCACCAGAGGACAGACAATACAGTGGCTGACCCAGTGATCCCTGGAAGAGATATGTCTTATGTCTCTATTTGGGAAACAAATGACGATATAAACTTAGTACAACATACTCCAGCTGTAAGACATCTATCTCTACGGATACTTCTACAATCAGCAATTCTACAATGTTTTAAAACAAAATGAAAGTTTATCCTAAATGACCCGATAAATCGGCGTCTTTGACAATAAATTCACCAGCGCTATTTGGAGTTTAAAGGCACAGCAACTGCTATCAGTTACACCAACATGCTTCACAATTATACAGTCACTACATTTTCTTAATGGATCTTTGAATGACAGCAATTGCCAGAAACATTTTACAATACAAATCCTTTTTATATTACATAAGGCAAACCTGTGAGAATCAATAAACATTAAAGCAGCCCTGTGGCTAGGATAAAAAGAAAAACACTGTCAAAAAATATTATGAATACTTTCAGCATGTGGCAACTTCAATCTTTGGTCTCTTGGTGAAAATGCAGCATGAAGTGGAGGACAGGATATCCGACATAGCAGAAGTGTCAGACAGCTATGGCACCTTAAGCTTTGCAAGAGAGCTGAGATTGGCGTTATCACCTGCTGAACAGGAAAGTACCCGAAATCTTTTTTGACAAGGTTCCTCTATATCAGCTTGTTTAAGCAATGAAATCCAGTCACTAAAAGCTATTTTATTCCATGGTCCTTATTAACTAATATGAACATTTTCAGAGATACGTTTAAACAAAATCCATCAGAGAGTCATTATAAATCTACACACAAGACTAAAGCGTAATCAGTAGCACTAAAACAGACAACACAGTCCAGTATCAGTCAGATACCACAATCAACACCATATCTGTGTTTGAGAACAGATGGCAGAGCTGAGCCAGCGATGAGTCAATCAGAATGGATTATATTCAAGTAGCTTCTTGCATAAGTGCTTATGTAATAAGGTGCATAAGAGCAACACCGTCCTGTGACGCAAGTAAACCAATCAGGGATCAGCTTCACTGTTAAATCATTCCATGATTGTTGCCATGGGTTACTGCAAACCTGCTGCACTAATTCATAGAAACAAGACGTAATGAAATGCGGAGATGTTGTCGACAGATCGATGTAGTACAGGTACGGGATTACTATGGCCAACCCTACCACATTTTACTTTCTTCCAACTTTCTCAGATAGGCCCCTGCCTGGAAATGCAACACAATAATTGTTGGTTGTGAAACAAGTACTTGCAAATATTTGCTACAGCAATACCTGTTAAAGGACAGGTTCACTTTATAATAAAAACTCCCCCCGCCCAGCTCACTAATCGATTCTAAACTAAAGCTGGTCGTACACCAGTAGAATTTTGTTAGAAAAAAAAACATTTTTGGAACATTCGTTGGTCAATAGGAACAAATCGATTACTGTTTTCAACCGTATGGATGAGAAAATTTGAAGGTTTAGGATGCATTTTTTTTTTGTATAATAGAAATTCTAACTGTGAATGTGACATATTGTAATGTTGGGTACAAAAGAAACCTGATTAATGTGTCTGGAATTCCATTCAAGTAGCTATCTGGACGACATTTTGATGATTTCAATGATGGCAAGATCGAAAGCTCTGAGGAAGCATTTTTCAGAATTTCGAACAAAATTCTCCTGGCGTATAGCAAACCTAACAACCACCCCAACCACCTAGTTATCTTTGTCCAACAGTAGGGGGAGCAAGACCCCATTCAAGTGTATGGGAAGTTACTCCACAGGTGGGCTGTAGATACCGCGGGAGGTAAGTAGTTCCTTAGCTGGGGGGTGTTTAGATTGGAATAGGTTAGGCATTAAGTATAAAGTGGACCTGTCCTTTAAGAGCCGTGGTGATGCACAATATCCCTTAGTAACCAGCCTAAATGGTAGCAGATCTGTTATTAAATGATGTCTGATTCTAGCTAATGCCCTTTTTCTATTTCTGCTTGGAATAAGTTGACATGGCTTCAATGCAAACATCTCCCACATTCTGGCTAAACATCAGAGGCCATGCAGCCCAGAAGATAGCTGTATGTGCATTCAAAGCAGGCGACGATAAACCCTCTCAAAGGAAGAGCTTAATATGTACATACATATGCATTATTTACAGCAAGCAAATGAGAGCAGAGCCTGAGGCTCCGGCTACAAAATGGAACAGACATTACGGCACTGACATGCTCTGCAAAGCCAAGGCACAGGGAAGCATATTTGGAGGAGGCAGCAGTGAGGCATATGTCAGGCCATTAGAGCCTTCACTCCTGCTCTCTGCTGAAAGGTTTTTCTTTTTTTTTTTTTTCAGGAATGTATTGGAACAGGCACATAAATTAGATGAAAACCAGGCAATGCATTGGTAAGATGGATAACATTAACACACTTCACTTCCAGCTAACAGAACATTTAGATTTAATATCCAAGCCCTGAACAAATGATCCGACGTGGGCTTCAATCCCCGATCGATCATAAAGTGACGCGCACAAACGCAAGATGCTCTTTAGTAACCCATGAACTGGATAGACTGGTACCATCAGTTGCCCATAGTGACCAGCAGGTGGCGCTCAAGCCTTGACAGACTCATTCTACTTACTTGCACTCCCTGTCTTCTAAATCAAAGTGAGGGTTGAAGTTGATCACGATCCTCTGGTACTTTTCAGGGGCTTGTATGATCCACTCGCATCTCTGGGATGGGTAGTAGTTCACAGGATATCCCGGGGAGACCAGGTAGCTGGGTTCCTTTATCTTTATAGTATCACCGCATTTTTCTGCAAGGCAAAAAAAAAAAGAAGAGGTGGAATCAGAAAGATCTGTGTAATTGGGTCTTAAATTGCCCTTTCTGATAGATTTTTTTTTTCTTCCCTCTCCCTCCCCATACCATTTTTGTTCTTGATTTAAATGTTAATGCAGCAAAATGTCAACCACTAAAACTGCAGTTTGAATGAAGTGATTCTCAGTCTTAATTGGAACCCGTGATGCAAATTAAACAGACACCGCAACTTAATAGGGTGTCCTTCCCTCGGAAAGCTACAAACAGCTTTGCAGCCCTTTCAGGGGGCTCGATGTGCAGCAGCGGTGATCACATCTGGACACTTTGCAGGCTCCAGATCACTGCTGAGCTGGTGTAATCTTATTAAGTGACACATTTAAGTGGCTATGCACTAAAAAAGATACCCTGTGCCCCCTGCCCTGACTTTACATGATAAGCCTTTGCTCAGTCACTGAACATCAGTGTCTGTTTTGGCTCAGAGCAGTGCCCCCCTTTATTCCTCTTGTCCAGACAACATGATCAGCCATTGATCAGACCTGCAGTCAATTTAGTGAAGCAGAAAACAGCTTTTTTTTTAATCCTATCCTACAGAGAAGGGTAGATCAAAGTAACTGGCTGCCCACTGAAGGATGTCACAGGCATGTTAGCTATGCTGGGAGAGCAATAGTTTAAAGAGACCCTGTCACCAGACTGAGCAACAATTTTCCCATAAGATGATATACGCATTTAAATATTTAGGCATGATATTTTACAAAACCCACCAGGACTCCAAACATGTAGTTGCATCCCCCAAATCTATTATGAAGAACAGCATCACATACATATATAGCAATATTTTGGGTCTCGCAGGGTTCTCAAGGTAAATTAAAGTGACTTCAATTAAGTTGCCTTGAGAAAGGGACCCTGCAGGGCCTCAGAACATCACTATATGTGAGGGGTGGTGACTTTGTTTCCCTTGTTCTGAGTTCAACGCAGCACCAACCGACGCAAGCACCCACATGAAGGTCTAGTATCGCCATGAGTGCAGCTTCATATATGGATTGGACCTGTAAAAGCTCCATTTGTGTAGATATCCAAAAGCCCTGAGATTTCTGCTGGGCCCTTCAGACTTGGATGCGATGCCAGCTGAAGGGAGGGGCAGGGAAGCTGGGCCAGCACATAAAAAAATTAGACACTCCTAAAAGAGGAGGGCAGTCATTTGTGTACACGTGATTTTACCACCCTCAGGATACCCTAATGGGAGGCGACGAGCGGCACTCCCAGAACCACTTCAGACTCTTAGCAGTCAGATTGTCCCTTCTCCCAGGCACCTAGCTAACTGGGGACCTCCCATAAACATGAGATTCTCCAAAAATATTTTACAATGTAACTCCCCTTCAAAATATTCCAGAAAGGTGATATTATGCTTTTAATATATAAATGTCAGATAATAGCATATTTTAGCAGTTATTATATTTCAGTATGTGTCTAAAGAGACATTGCATTTTACATGTGAATTTTTGATACAATGTTATGCTCTAACACCCTGGTGCCCAACCTGGGGCCTGAGGGCCACATGCAGCCCTTTGGTGCTTGCTGTGCAGCCCTTTGCAAACCTCAGAAGTCAGTAGTGGAAGCATTCATCTGTAAAGAGTCTACCATGACAAAGATCTAGCAGTCTCATGTAACATATCCAAAGTCTCTCTCTATCTCCTGTAGTGAGCATTCAGTCTCCAACCACCCCTGTTGCACATCTCTAGGCTCTGATCACCTACTCTAGTATGTCTGTAGTCTTTGAGAGTAACACCTTTTAAGTTGACAAAAACTGCTCCAGGAGTTCCTAAATATCCATAAATGTCTGCAGACAGAAGTGTACAACATGGAGCGTGTGACCACAGAGCTATGTGACTTGAGCGTATTAATTAGATGGCAGCCTCCAGGTTAATTTTATGCTGTAAAGCTAAATTCACTGTAAAAATTGCCATTTTGAATAATTATCTTCAGTGTCCAGGCACAGTACAGTACCCGGAGTCCCTCATGTTTCGTACCTAATTATTATTACAGTGGCAGAATTTTAAATAGAAAGTGCCAAATCCACTGATATTCCACTAATGGTTAACCTTTCCCAGCAGCATGCATGCAAGAACTAAAAGTCACATCTGCAGTTTCATTCTCTTCATCATCTAAGTTCATTTATTGCTGAATCATTTGAAATATGACACTGTCAGCTTTGTGGAGATTAAAAATATTAATAAATACGTTAATTAAAACAGCTAAGTAGTTTCATGGACTAATTAGAACTTATTCACACAGTTTTCTGCATCCTGTCATGGCACGTTCACATTTTGGTAAAACTCCAAGAAAGAGAAAGAAGCAGAGAAGAGTAGGACAACATAGAGAAAATGGAAGGTATTTTCTGTCTCCATATAACCCGCTCTACAAGAGTCAGCAGACAAATGCGAGCGAAAAGAGGAACGCATTGTGGTCTCCCCTGATGGTGCGCTGAGGTTGGTTTCTGTCAGGCTCAGAGGAGACAGAAGATACATTTCTGCACAGAGAATGCTAGTTTTCTATGTTGTCCCACTCTTGTTCTTTTCATCATCCTCTCCAGGGCAAAAGCTTCTTCGGCAGCCTTGCCCAACCATGGTTCCATGAAACCCTAGAGTTCCTCCAGAGGTTGATAGGGGTTCCTTGAGCTGTGAGCAATATCTGCCTCTCTCACTGACACCAATGATTTCTTTTAACTATCTATAATGGGGGGGGGATTCTTCCTACTGACCACGAATGCAAGGACCATTGGTTCCAGTGACCATCACAATGATGTACTGTGAGCTGTAGACATAGTAATTATTAGCAGGGGTTCCCTGAGATCCGATAGCTATTCCTCCATGTTCAAAGGGTTTGCGAAAACAGGGCTGGCAGGGTAAACAGAGTCTTAGTGAGGTACTTAGGATGTAAACTCGGCTCCCCTCATTACTAATATGCCTTTCTCTTTCTATATCCTGCTCCCTAATAGATTCCCCATGGAAGGGGAAATAGCATCCCTGGCTCTCAGCATGAATTTCTAAATGTAAGGATTTTTTTATTACAGCGAAACCAGGTCAATTGGAAATGAAAAGAATATGCCCATGAAAAATGCATACAGCTTGCTGTAGCAGCAATATTGTAGATGTCTCCTGTCATGAAATAAAGTAAGAAATATTAGTTTCATTAACAGTGTTTGTTAAGCAAAGTGTTCTGTGTGTCGGAGGGAGCACAAGCAGGGGGTAATGGTGTAATAAACACCCAGGGCAGGGATAGGATGGAGAGGAGACATTGGGGCTGATGAATGCACAAACTGGAGCTAAAGCCCAGAACAAAAACCCTCTTGGTTCAGTTTATTATGTTTATTGTTATCCTGTAATAGCTCCATCATATTCCATAGCAGTTTACAGCAAACGTAATATGTCTTTGGAAATACAATGCACAACAGGAGATAAGAGATAATCGGACCCAAAGCTCAATTCACTAAGTTGTAAAAACTTATTAGCCAGAACGGTCATTATTTCCAGCCATGTGACTGTTATTTTCAAATCTTATTCGCTGTTGCTATAAAACTAACAGTTGTGGCAAATTATGATTCTTAAAGGTCTGGGGAATTAAGCCTACTGTCTGAAATATGAAGCAAAAAATGAAACAAAAGGCAAATAAAACCTATAAGAGTATCTCTCGCTGTATGCGTATATATATCTTGATATCTACAATATTTAAAAGTAATATATATATATATAAATATCTCCAAAAGCATAACTGGAATTTAGACAAGCCCTGCGGCTATAACATATCTGATTGCCAAGTAACCATAATGTAAGCTTATGGATTATATAGATGAACAGATATCAATAACGGATCCTGAAGATTAGGTGAAGTTTTAAAGGACATAAACCTAAGAAGAAAAAAAGATGATACTGAAAAGCCATCAATAACTTGAAGAGAAGACAAAGTTTTCCCACAGAATAAAAAATGAAACCTGACTGGTTGCTTTGGTCAAAGGCTCCAGTTTTCCTTAACATTTATTTGCTGCAATTGTAATTGGTCATCCCCACAGTATCTACTCTAGGATTTGCAGGCAGATATACTTCCAGAGACTGCTACAGACTCATTAAAACCAACTCTTAGTCACAGCTAACAGCATGAAAAGGGGATCTGGCAAGCGCTGACAAAAACCAGTGTTGGTCCCAGTCACTTGACACAGTCACTTAGTACAACATTTAGCCACAATCCTGTACCATGCACTGTTGTCTAATCTGTGACTTCTGAGACAGTGACACCATAATAAGATAATATGTTTATGCCTGCTTCTGCTCCATTTCACCAATGTACAGCATCAATAAGGACAGTTCCTTGACCATTAGACCTCAAGAAAAAAAGAAGGTTAATGAATGAATTTAGAAGACTATGATATCTGGACTCAGTTCCTAGAGGTCTGCTGCTCTGTACTCTGGGTTAATGGCACTGCTGACTCCACTAAGGTCATTAAATAGTCCCTAACCACTCCGGCTTAGATAATAGTGTCTGCAAGTAATACGGTTTAGCAAAGTGCTACTCTGTGTATCAGCTATTTCCTGGCAAGAATGTGCCCGACTCTTCTCATTACAGACAAATCTTTAATCAACAGCCATGTAGAGGAGAAGACTGGAGGCTGCAGAAAACAGCATCTACCTTACACAACATTGTGACCATTATCCGTGCACTGGAGTCTGGTGGGAGCAAAGGTAAAATCTGACACTTGCCAGTTTGTGGGAAGGTAAATAACAGCAGATTGGAAATGTAGATAGCTAGATTTTTTTTTATTTTTTAGCAGGGTTGACTTTATTTGTCTTCTTTTGTAAATGTTTAACCCTTACAAAAAATATTTCTGCATACGTTTGGCTTAAAAATAGGCATCTTAACTTCTGGCTGGCATTGATATAAATTAGGAAACTGCTGCATGCCAGCTGTTTAAGAACCATAAGATCCAGCATGCTTGCCCATACCCATGTCCTACAGCATGCTCAGTCCCATCAATATGCACAGAGCTCCATCAACATCATGCCATGTTAGCACCCTCCGGTACTTCCTATAGAACAGACTGGCACATTCCAAGAGCAAAATTGCTGTCTAGTGCCCTCCTTGCACGGTCTGCACAATAACCTCCTAGGCACAGGCTGGCACCACTCAATTGTCACTTCCTAGCTGATATAAAAGCCTTGAGCATCACGCCTATCCTACATTAAAATAATATTGTTTATCATTCAGGCACATCATTTTTCTGATGACATTTCCCCCAAATACCTTCAAAGGAGCTGCCATTGCTGATGTTAACTCAATAAACTGAACTTGTGCCATTACATACAAGCTTCAAGGAACTCTCTCAGTTTTTATGTTTAGTTTAGAATTCCAAAGTCTACAACGCTTGTTTATATACAATAAACTGTTACATGATAAGAGGGTACTAAGGAAACAGAAAGTAAGAGAGAGATAGAGAAGGATGGGGAAAGAGTAGCAGAAAGTAAAGGCAGAAGGGAAAAGTAAAGGGAACAGGGGGAACAAGAAATGTTCAGGGGGACAGAATGGAAAATGGAGCATATGGAGGAAATATAGAGATAAAATAGAAGAGAGAGGATATAAGAGAGGGTGA